TACCACCACCCGATTAAATTAATAAATCAAACCCTTTTCAGATTTCAAGATACTTACTATTTTATCTCATTAGTGGAACTTGTAATAACTTTTCTTCTCTGAAAAGAAGCTGGTCCTAGAGGAGCATAGCTAACAAAACCTACTCTTTTGATTTCTTTCCCGTGTTCCCTCCTTCCTTCTGTAAACACAGTCTGCTTTGTCAATTTTCTTCATATCCTCCATGTAGGAGATACTTCTGTGTTACCCTCAGACTGATTTACAAGTCTGTTAGACCCAGTTCAGCAGCATGCTTTGGCTTTTCCCTGTCAAGACTGTATTTAACTTTGCTGGTCAAAAAGCAGCATCTCTGCCATGGTGAACTTTGAGCTATATGCATAATGGTGAATCCGCTGCTTTCTCTTTGCTGTTCTTGAGCAGAACAGAAAAAGGATGAGCTCTTGTCTTCTTCAGAGAGGTACTGCGTGAGCTGACATAGGCAGGACGCAGGACCAACCACAAAACCATGGATGAAATACAAAGAATGAATTTATTTTAGTTACCTTGTGAACTGGGGGATTGCTGAAGCGGCACCTGGGCCAGAGGCATGCAAGTGGGAACACAGGCACCACAGACCTTGGTCCTTGCTAGAGGATCACCGAACCTGCTGTTTGCACCTGTTTTTCAGGGATTCATGCAGGTGTAGTTTACCACTGTGCTTTGATCTTTCCCACAGCAGGGCAGGAATCTCAAGCATGTTCGATAGGGTGCCTCCAAGTCTATCTATGTTATCTAAACACAGATGTTCTACTTGTCAAACACACAAGACTAAACAATGATTAGTATGAGATGTGTATTTTTCAACACCCCAGCTGCAATTCACTTGATCACGTTTACAATCCTCCTCGCCAATCTTCCATTATTTTCCCACAGGTACTAACAGTCTACCTTCTCTGACTTGCTGCCGATTTTTCACAAAGCTTGTAGGAACACAGTATTTTTGAGGTTTTTTTATTTCAATTTGGTTGAAAGCTGGTAAGTATTCAAAAGATGTAAGGAAAGACTAGAGAGCAAGATTTGTAAGTTCTGTAGAAAGCTAGGCTTAAAAAAAAATTATTTTTTCTAATTAGCATGAAGGGGAAGAAGTAGACACTTTAAAAATAAAGAAGAAAGAAAGAAAAGTACTTTCAAATAAATTGTTGAGGAAAATGTGTGGGGGTTTGTTTGTTTTTCTTACAATTAATTAAATTTGATTTATGAAAAGAATGTATTTTTGTGTAGGGTATACAGCTTGAAGATGGACATAAAGATGATCTTACAGCTCTTGATGAGAAAGCTCTCCTGCAACAATGCTACACAAGCAAGCCCTATAATATGCAGCACAGTATAAGGAAATCAGAAGCTGTAAGTATTTTGGCTGGTATTGTGCTGTTAACCGTCTAGACTTGTAGCATGACTTCCCAGGTGTTCAATAGAAGTCAGGCCTTTGGTGATTTGGTCCTAGTATGTAATTGCACCCATTGAAATCAGGGGAGTTTAAACACTTGTTTCAGTGGGAGCTGAACTGAGCAATCCAGTGAGCATTTTTTTTTTTTTAATCTTATCTGCAAGGCTTGTATTTTATGCAGGAATGTATATAAATGAGAATGCAAATTATGAATAACAGATAAAAATATATACATACAACTAAGATTAACTGAGTGGGTGGAGTGAACCCGAGTATAGTGTTAGATAGAACTCTTACTCTGACTTGTTTCTAGGGTAAACAGGCTGTTTTCCCTCATTAACTCCTGAAATGGAGTATGTGATGAGCACTGGCTTTGTAAGCTGTATGGGCTCTGCTGCTGGTATTAGATTGGGTCAGCCACAGCTTTGGCTGAGTCTTCAAGATCCAAGGATGGAGCTTCTGCAGCATCTCTAGGCAACATCTTCCTGGGATACACTACTCTCCTTGTGAAGAAGTTCTTATTATCCATACCAAGCCTCCCAAGGCTCAGTGTGTAACGTTTGCCTCCTGTTATACTGTTGGTGGCTGTCAAAAAATGTTTGGTTCTGTCTTCTTTGTAACTTCCCTTTGGTTGTAGGATGTTTTCAGAACGCCTTGTAGCTGCTGGTTCTGCAAACTAAACAAACCCAAGTTCCCTTAGCCTCTCCTTTCAGTTGCTTTGGCTCCGATCCTCTATCAGATGATTTCCAGGTTCCTCTCATCCATATTGATCTTGGGAAGGAGGGAGACCTGAAAACTGGAAACAATTATGGCCTCAGTAGCATGCGTAGAGGGGAATTAAAACTTTTCTTATGTGGACGTACCCAATATGTTTCTTTAATTTCTTACATAGACGTGACTTTTACTCTTTTTAGGACTAAACAATAGGAGTCTTGCCCATCTAAGGCTAAGCCTTGAGTTTAGGATTATTTACAACGATGAAGAACCTTGAGATTTGATATTGCATGATTCAGTATTTGCATATGCAGTGATGGCTTCAGAACTGGTTTTTGAAGGTATTACAGAATAGAGTTAGCATTCTAACTTTCTCATGGAATACTAAACCATGAGAAATTTTATGAGATTGTAAAAGTAAATAATTTTAATTTATTTTGTTTGCTCATCACTATGCACTGAATTTTGCATCATTGCAAACATTTATTTCATTTCTGGTCTCGTCAAAGTGAATGCGGATGTTGCACTACTGAGGTCCATATTCATTTTCATTATAAGAAAATCTTTTCAGAAGGTACTTTTGTGAAGAACTTGAAGAACCTCCTGTTATTTTTAGAATGAATTTAAAAATCTATACTATAGAGTGAAGATAATGTAAAAAGTTTTGAAGTATTATTAGAGTAACTACTTAACGCTAAATCAAATAAGCTGAAAACACTGAGAAAGGGACCAGTGCAGGACCACAAAATGACAGGTACACTGCAGCTGGCATGCTTTAAAACGAAGCCAGTAGGTGTCTGAGCAAGGTGTCACTGGGACCTTTAGAAGCCCTTTTGTTATTGATTAGCACTTGTGGTTGCACAGGCTGGCTGTCTCTTTCTAGGAGCATCTCTTAGGTTCTCTCAGGTTCAAGTTTCTGATAGTGGTAGGAATAATGGAAAAAATTGGAAGTAGTAACTGCATACATAATTAATTCCTTTTAGTATACGTTGCCTCAATTGTTGGCATTTGATTTTAAGGTGTTTTAAAAATTTGCCTAAGAATACACAATCTTAAAATTTCCTTTTACTGTAATCATTACCAAAACCTCTAATGGTAAAGTAGAATTTATCTTAATTTTTTTATAGTTTGGGATGAAAGTTCCCTTATTCCAGACAGATTATAGTACATGTGTGATTGCAAATAGATGCTATGTATAATAAAAACAGGGTTTTTTAGAAGAAGGTTAGTTTTCTCTGAATAATCATATTTTTTTGAACAAGAGTTACTACTTTTTAACCAGTGACAGCTGCTGCAAGTTCAATGTTTGCCTCAGCAATTTTGTAAATTCATGGTAGAGCTTTTGTCTAAGAGCTGAATGGAGTATGTTCCATAGAAGAGTACATTTAGTGACCTAGTATTCAATTGAAATTCAAGGTTTAAGGGTTTTTTTTTTAAAATCAGGTTCTTTTCAGCATGCTAGCTGGTTTGGTCCAAGGAATATGTTGTGTTTTAACAAACACTGCTCTGTATTATCACTGTGTCCTCTTTACATAATGCTTTTTAATGTAACTGTTGTGACAGTTAATGGGCAAAGATTCAGTAAAGCACCTGTAGTTCTCATAGGTGCAAAAATGAAATATGAAAGCAGACTAAAAAGCCCCCTATCTCCTATAATTCAGAAATCTTTTGAGGCTTACAATCAGTTCGATCAGTTTGGAATAAACACCAGCTGGTCTAGTGTTACATTATTTATTTGGGTTTTTTGGTTTTGGTTTTGTTTGTTGTTTTTTTTCCGGCTAGTGCCAATCAATATTTACTTGAAGGTTGTGAATTATACCCATAACATCTCTGTGGAGTTGTCCCTTACAGTTACCTGTTGTCTGGGAACAAACTTTCGGTTCTTCTTCAGCCATGGGAAGGCTTGATCTGTCTAGAATTTGGTTTGCATGCAAGAATTGTATGGAAGAAATAACCAATCAAAAAAAAAATCTTAATTCTTCAGTTTCAGAATACCTACAAAGTTGTCAAAAAAAGTTGCATAAACTCCGTTGGTAACAATAATCTCTGTTTTCTCATATATAAAAATTATTTTTTTGGGAAAAAAGGCAAATTTAAGGGCGGTAAAAAAGTTCAGGAATCTAGGAGATAAAAGGAAGAGAGATGCTGGGGGCTGGTTGTTGCCAATAGCCTCCAATGCTGTCCTGGGGTATCCTCTTGCGCTTTGGTTTCTCTTTCTATGAAACAAATGATGATCGGTGCCTGCGGACTTGACAGTGAATGGCACAAGGTTATGGTTCAGTGTTACTCTAATAAAAATAATAATCAGATCATGTTAAATCCCCTTCGGATGATCTTTCCTGAAAGGTTTTTTAGATTGGCCTGTCTCAGCAGAAAATTATTGTGGCATGCAGCAAATAAAAATTGTGCATTGAGACTAAGTCTTAAAAGAATTTTTTTGACTAAATATTGCTGGAGGTAGTGTTCCCTTCTCTGAGTTGGAATCTGTGTCAACCGTGAAACCTGAAATAGTGCGAGTTTCCTCAGGCTCTATTGTACTTAAAGAATTTATTGGAAACAATACAGAGATAAGGATGCTGTCTGTCAACAGAAATACTAGAATTCTCATATTTATTGACAACTAATATGCATAGACAATTTGAGTGTGTAGCAGAGAATATGATTTGTTATTATTGTTATGCAAATAGAACTCTATTGAAAAAGATGGAAAAAAATTAATTGTGACATTGGTAAGATTGTGACCTCTGAATGCTATCTTAAAGGGTAATCTATTATTTGAAGTGTCTGGTGTTACATCTTTCATTTGCTCTTAGTCAGTTTTTCATTGCAGGAGGATGTTGCTGCAGAGAGGAGAAAACAGGCTGTAGTAGAACAAGTGATGGTGGATCAATTATCTAGGTAAGTGAATTTATAATGTAAAATTTCAGTTTTCCCTACAGAAAAATTTAGATCTGTGAGTGTGTTGCTTTCCTTGCCTAGGAGCTGTTTTGATCATCTCATTCCAAGTCTTATGGAGTCATATGCAGTGTTATTATTTTCAAAAATTCTTTAAATGAAAAGTCTTTTTTATTTAACTTAAAAGGTCACTTTAAAGTGCTATGTGTAAGTTAATTTTTTTCTGAGAATAATTTTTAATTTTATACTTGAACCTAATTTAAGGGCTTTACAATAGAACTAGTTCTCAGAAACAACCATCTGGCACCTCAGCAAAATAGACAAATGCCTGCTGTTACAAATTACACTCCTTCAGTGTTTATTTTCTTTTCTAAGAATCTTAGCTTTATTACTATTTCTTTATTAATATTGACACACATCCTGCAAGAGTAAAGGAGTATTATAGCAGTGTTGGACACGTAGGGGAAGAAAAGGCACAATGATGAATTGAGTTGATCAAGGTTGGACAGGAAGGCTCTCCTAACTTCATTGCTATCCCTTCAGCTCCGAGAAAGCATTGCTTCTATGTAGAAAGATCCCTTTATGTATTAAGGGGGGAAAAAAGTAACTTACAGGTAAAGATCAGTATAGAAAAAAAATCTTTCCTTACTGTTATTCCCATAAACTTGTTCTAATTTTTAAGCATGCTTTAATAATTCAGACATTTATCCAAGTTGTCTGGTTATGGCAATATAGGATGGTACAAGCTAGGTTCGTATAGTTTCCTGTTACCTTACACTTGCTAAAAATTATCTGTGGGGTGGTCTACAGCATGTTGCATTCTGTGTTTAGTTTACAATCTCTGTAGTTATCTGTACTGATATTATAGCCCATCAGATCTTAAGACTTTGAGGTTGAAATGTTGCACTTCACCATTTTATTTTTTGTTTGTTCCAACTGCAGTTTAAATGACCTGTATTGTTTAAAACTCTATTAATGCTTTTACACTATTTAAAAGCTGAGATATCAATGAAGTTGCATGAAGGAAATGAGGTTGTCATGAAACACAATGTTAAATTCCAAGTGTCATTGTAGCAGGATTAAAAATATGGAAGTGTTCAGGGCAGCAATCCCCAATTTTCAAAGAAATGCTTGTTCCATGTCATATCTCTACAAACATATAGGTAAAGCAGATGATTACAGAAATCATCTTAAAAATGCGCTGGTTGTATTGACATGTTTCAATCCTACTGACATTGGATTAAACATACACGTTTGTTCATCTTGGATCATGCATGTTCATTCTGTGCTTAGGCTCCTTCAGCTGCTTTGCCTTATTTTTTCCATGTATTCCTTCTACTCTGAACTCTTTTGTTGATGATGTCAAAACAATATTCAGTAGTGTTGCAGCTGCATCAGGAAGAACTTTTAATTAAAAAAATCTGTTTATATTCCCAATATGACTGTGCCAGTACTGCCATACAAATTGGTATCAGAGAGCAGGATGTTAATTGGGGAAGGTTAGTTCAAAACTGTTGTGTGAAAAAAAAATCTATTAAAGGAAACACAAAGGTGTGTTGATTTTTGTTTTGATTTTTTTTCTTAGTAGAGTCAATCTTGCAGTTAAATTAGTGTAACTGATGTGTGCAAAGATCAATCTGCATAGATCAGAGAACAAGTTTATAAAACTATTAGCCATGCAAAATTATTTTTTTCCTTCCGATTGTGAACCATTTCAATAACGTTAAAAGAATCTAATGTATTTTAAAGGGTCTCTTCTTTTGTTTACTTGTTAAACTGATACAGAGAATATCAAAATGTTTGGAAACCAGTTCATCTATTTCTTGTCTGCTTGATGGGACTTTGAGGCCCTATGGGCTTCCTAGGGGAAAGTGCCAATGTTTTTGTTGGATGATGTCGCTGGCTGGCCAGTACTAGTAGCTGTTGTCACTGATTGTGGATGGAGCTGTGGATAAAGAAAGTCAATAATGGAACTTTTACAAAAATAGTGGAAATGAGGGGGAAAAAAAACCCCAAACCCCTTTGTAATCCTGATTTATTTTATATATACATATATAAAATATACTTAAAATAATATGTATATACATGTAAAGTTACTACATAATAGTACACTACCAGAATATTTTTGCATATATTTGATTTTGAGTAATAGACTTCAGAATTTGTAAAAACAAACAAAAAAATAAGGCCACAAATTTATGCAAGCTTAATGGGTAACTCTAAGATTTTATTGCTGTTATTCTTGGGTGTTTTCTTTCCTGGGTAAGAATATGTAGGATCTGAGATTCAAACTTACTAATAGTCAGCGGGCTTCTCTCTGCTCTTCTTTCTGGTCAGAGCTGTTATAAGTGACCCAGAGCAATCCATGTGTGCTGATGTTTGCGAGGAAGCTCGTGGGCTTCTGGGACTTGGGACAGCACGAATGCGTTTTAGAAAAAGAATGTTTCATGAAACCAAGTAAGTTTTCTCTAGCGGTCATATTTTTTAGAAATACACTTTCTGCTGTATTCTTTATATTATTTTGTGCTCTGCGGTGTCTGTTTGCCTTTCCAGATGTTTTATTTCTGGCTTAGATCCACCAACTTCATGTGAAGCCTTTTTTGTAGCCTACTCATACTTATAATTGCCTAGTAGGACCTTTTTTATGTGGATTCTCTGTTGTGTAATGATTGATTCATAGAATTTATAAAATCTAGGAGACATTCTTAAGCTTATATTGATATTGTTCATCACAGGGTTTTGCCAGCCTTTTCTGAGCTGTTGAATGCTTGCAATCTTGTCATATCCTTTTAGAGATTCCTATCCTGAGGTGCATAAAATTGCATAAATATGCATCTGTAAATGCTAATGCAGTTCTTCACAATATAATCATACTTTCCTTTCATGTTTTGATTTCTGCTGCAGTAATTAAACATACTGGCATTTAAGTGTCATTCCTGGCCTGTGAGCATTGAAATAGTAACTCCAAGGGCTTAAGAAAAACTGAGAAAACGTTGTGATCCATAAAATTAAATGAATCTGCAGGTCCAAGTTTTGTTCCATTAATCTTTCTCAACATGCAGGCAAACATCTCTGCTTTGTGCATTTTGACATCCTGCTCTAAAGTCTTTCTAAACAAATGTTATCTTTGTATTCTTAAAAAAAAAAAAAGACAACAAAACCAGTCTCAATTTCTTACACCCATCACATGGACAAATCCCCATTTCTGGAACTAGTAATATGGCCAATATAAAACATCTAGGTGGGTAAAGAAGCTCCAACCTGGGTGTTTTTGCAAGAAAACACATTGATTGGTGGAAGTATGGTAAGTGGTAGAAGTTTAATTCTTGATACAAGTGTATGTAAACAAAATATCCCATTCGTATCTATGCCTTCTGTGAATGTACTCTCATACGATGTAGTTGCAGAACACTTTCCACATTACAACTCTGAGTTCTTTCTAATTCAACTACAAGGGATCATCTCCTCAGCCAGTTGCCAAGGATACCGTATTTCACATATTTTGCTGTTTTGAAACAGTTGATTTTTATGTAACGTTTCTCTGTGAGCATATAGGTGTTGTTAACATGCTGCATTATTTTCACAGAATAAGGACCAAATCAGGATTAACTGAAAACATGCTCTCTAACAAGCTACGTTTTGATAGTAGGATTATATCGAGGTAATCGCAAGTTTTGTGAAGCTTTTCAATTCTGTGAATTTATGAATGATGATCATTGTACCCTCTTGAAATTAATTGCACTGAACCTTTCTGTTCCCTGTTTAGAAAAAAGTATGTGCTGTGTGGGTATATATATGCATACATGGATAATACACATTTTGACATGGCTGATGGATAGTGGCTTTACAGTCCCATTGTACAGTGTTAAGATGCATATGTTATGTTACCATCATACCCATAGCTCTGCGCAGGACAGTTAGCACAGGGGCTGTGTAAAATAGTGCTCTTAGCCATTGTACCTCAGCTGATTAAAAATTAATTTAGTCTTGTCTTAGTATGTGGCAACCACTGTGGATGGAAAGGATGGCTTTGTGTCTTTGTAACTCCTTGCATATTAAACTTGCAGGTTTAGGGCATCTTTGAAACTGTTCTGAATTGAGTAGCAGTGACATAAACATATTCTTCAGCTCTGAAAGTGGTGCTTTTTCTGAAGCAGTGAGCTGTATACTTGTTAGACATAGCTGAGGATTCAGCCACGTAGCTTCAGATACCACAGTGAATGCAGTAGTCCTGGTGTAAGTAATCCTTTAGTTAATAAATGAAAATTACATTGGTGTACTAAAACATGAAGCCTTGGAAGCTGTTTTTAACATTATGGAGAATGGAATGTTGCATTAAAATCTGTCCAAATCCAGAAGTTGAATTCCATGGTGGTTTAGAGAAAAGAGTCAGATACCTTTTTCAAAGAAAGAGATTGTACAATGTGCAACATTGGAAATAAAATGCATATTCCAAAATAAGTGTATTTATGTTTGGGTTGAATTGGATTTATATAGATGCAAAAACATAAAGGTGCTTTTCAATTTTCCTTCTAGAAATGGTCGCGATGCTTGTAGAGAGTTGATTGGATTTTTTTTTGCATGTGACAGATCCCTTACTGTGTACGAATTTCGACAGTTTGGAAAAAATAGGTAGGATACATTACTTCTTTTTAAAAAGGTTTTAGAACCCATCTTCCAACTGTATCTAAGAAACTTAAATAAATTTAATTGTTTTAATAGCAGTTTTGAATTATTTCACAGAACAAATGCCTTGCCTTTCATTCAGAAGGGAGTTTATCAACATCAGCGTGGACAAAGGAAGGGAAAAGCTTATGATCTTAGTGACTTCTATATTGTAAGTATTCTGCTGAATGTAAGGCAATTTTGTTGGTGTTTTGGAAGTAATATTTAGATATTCGAGTTGAAAATTGTGATCTAGCTTTCAGGGAAGACCAAGAGTCTTCCCCTTCAGTAACATTTTCAAATTAAAGATTTTCAGGAGTTGATTATTTTGCTGTCCCACGTTTTAGAGATTCCATTTGTGGCTTCAGATTAAGCTGTAGTTTGAAATTTTCCCACTAGAGGACACAAGACTGCAGACAGTGCAGACCTTTTTGTAGGCAAAATGAACAACTAGGGAAGGAGAGTCCTGAAGATGAAGTAGATGAAAGTACTTGCTAAAAATTAATAATCTTTGCAAGGTCTGTTGGCATTTTTGACACAAGACAGTGATTAAATATTTTTTTAAACATGAGGCAATTGCAGGTTAATTGCTTTTAACCTAAAGTTTGAAAATGTTTACCACCAGATGTTTAGAGAGAGCTTTTGAAACAATAGTAAACTTCATCTACTAACTAATCGGATGACTGACTACAAATCATACTGCATCTTCTGTCCTGCTGTACTTCTGTACTGGGTTAAGTGTTCCTGCTTTATAAATACTTAAGCAATTTTTCAGGTAGAGTGTTTTCACTGAGTTCTTCACATCTTCCTACAAATCTTAAGTTTAGAGCAAAAACTGTGTTCAAATGAAGTGTTGAAAGTAAAAGAAGGCAACATTAGTTTTTAGAGTGTTTTGTCTAATCACCTGCCTAATCCTGACTGTTTACATGTGGCTATAAGAGTTTCCAAGATGAAATAGATTACTTTTTTTAAGGGTTAAAGCTGTTTTTTAGAGACTTCTTAATTTTTTTTTTAATTGTCATGTGTATCTTTGCAACCTGCAGATGGAAATGTGTTCTGAATAAAGATGTGTCTTAAAGCTGTCCAGAAAACGTATCCTACCAAGTTCAATAGCTCTTTGGAATGACGTCGTATTTGTGAATCTCCATATCTGCAAACAGGGTTTCTGGGCTGACATTAAGATATACAAATCTCTCACAAAGTCCAAATGATTGAGACACTTGTACAATAACAGTGTCTCTGTTGCCTTCCTAATCTATGAGTTCTGGAGTCTCTATAACCCAAGTCTGCATCGATATTACAGTTAGAGCTACTGGGTTTTTTTATTTATTTATTCTTATTGGTATTCTTTGCTTTTAGTTTGCTGCTTTTCTTTCTCTCCCCTTCCCTATTCTACCAAAACAAAAAGCATCTTTAATTTTGCAAAATACATAAGGTGTGTCCTCTGTCCCCAACTTGGAGGGAAGGGGAATTTGTAATACTCAGAAGAGACTATACTGGATAATAGAACTCTATGCTTCTAATAATATATTTTTATTCAATATTTATTTGTGAAATACAGCAATTTTAAAGAATAACATTATAATTAAACATTGCAGGAATGATTTGAACTTTGAGAAGGCTACTTTTTAGTTGTTTGTTTATCTCAAGTATGTTTTTAGGTTACTGAAAATAACTGTGGAGGGTTTCCTCTAGTCTGAGAGAACTTCACTTTCATGCAATCAGTGTGGCACCTTCTGTGACTCTTTTCTGTGGTCCAGTGAGTTTTGGATCCCATAAGGATGAAGGGACAAGAAAAATGGAAAAGTAGAGCCTGGCGGAGGGAAACACAATCTGTAGTCTCATGTTTCTCAGCTGTAGATCAGGCAACAGTAGGCCCTCTTACTAGACAAACCTCTATGTAGATAATGTAGATATCCTCTATGAGGATAATGTGTCATCTTGGAGCCTGCAGCTCTTTTTATTTAGTACTAGAAAGGCTCTGTTAAAAAGGTTAACTGACCTTAGCTACACCTTTTCATTATTTCATACCAAGGCTTTTAACAATCACTTGAAAGTCTTGCAGAATGTATTTTATGAAATACACAATCTAATTGGAAATCATTGTATGCTTTACCAACAGGGAGCTAACCTAACTTTCCGAAGTGTTGATCATAACCTTCCAGAAAGTGTTAAGCAGAACCCAGTTCTCATCCTTCGTGTGATAAGTATTGATGAAGCAGCTATGGATTTTCTAAAGTAAGTGCAGCTAACTTTTTCAAATTACCTTTCCTTCCTTAAGAAAAAAAGATTTTTTAATAAGAGCTTCTAACATCTTATACTGCTAAAAAAAAATAACCTGTCTTTAGGCTGTTGTTAGGAGAAATTAGTAACAGGTGTTAGTGGATGTTCTGTAATTCAGTAACTTCCTAGAATGATAAGCAGGAATTTTAAAATAAGAATTAATTAAATTATGAAACTGTCCTTTTTGCTTTGTTTGAAGTCAGATGTTTTTATATACAAATCATATACTGAAACTTTTTTTGTGATGAACCAAAATACTATGTTTGGGGGAACAATGCTTTTTTTTTTTTTTTTTTTGATCAACTTTATTATTATCAAGTCTTTTGTGAAGCTTATGTTAAAAGCTTGTATTGGTCACGGTAATGCAAGTGTTTGAACACAGGCAGGGGAAGGATTAGCATTTTCTCTCTCTGTTTTTTCTTTTTCATTTTCTTTTTCCTTCCTCTTCCTATCCCTTCATTCTTCATTCTTCCAGATATTGCACCCTGTTGAAGACTTCAGGCACTGGGACAGGATTTCTGCACATATTCTTTCAAAATAGGTTTCAGTAAATTAAGGTGTTCACAGTCTGAAAGATGGGTATTTCTTTGAACTTTTTCAAATGGTTTAGTGAATGGTTAATCTTTGAGTATGTGTTTATTTTTGAAGGTAATATTCTCATCTCAATATCTATGCAGAAGTAAACTGTCTAGGGAATGAAGCATCTTTGTGTGGGTTTTCTTGCTTTTATTGTGGATGTACTGGTTCTTAGCACAAATAAAATCTTGGTATAAAATTTATTGCACTGCTGTGTTGCCTGAACACAGAAGTTACCTAACAGTGTTGGAAATACAGTCAGAGTTTGATTACTCAAATTTTGGTGAGGAATGTTAGCTGATAGCAGATGTTACAAGGTAGAAATTTTCATAAAATCATGGAATCATAGAAAGGGATCTCAAGAGGGTCTCTAGTCCAACCCCCCTGCTCAGAGCAGTGTTTACTACAGCAGGTTGGTCAGGGCTGCATCCACTTGGGTTTTTAATATCTCCGAGGTTGAAGACTCTGCAACCTTCCTGGGAAACCTATTCCAGTGTTCAATCAACTTACAGTAGAAAAGTGTTTTCTGATGTTGAGAGGGAACCTCCTGTGTTTCAGTTTGTGCCCATTGCCTCTTGTCCCATCACTGGGCACCACTGAGCAGAGCCTGTCTCAGTCTTTACTCCTCCTGTCAGGTATTTGTGCACACTGACAAGATCCCTCCAGCCTTCTCTTCTCCAGGCTAAACAGTTCCAGCTCCCTATATTTCAAATGCTTCAATCCCTTCTTGACTAGGAACAGCAGTAACAGAATCTCAATTAAATACGTTCAGTATCTAAAGACTACTTTTGTTAGCACAACTTAACTGACTATTATTTTTCTTTCTGCAAGTGTTTAGACACATGAAGCTTGTTCTCAGTTACGGTAATATTCCCTTTAAGGTCCCTTTACACTGAAAGCTTTGCAAAGGAGCCATAGTGAGCTAACAGTACATAAAACAATAAATTCAAACATAATTGGTTATAGAAATGTATAGTGGTATGATGCTTAGTGCTAATTGTTCCCTCTCTGCAAGGTTTCCTTGAAATAAAACACAATATAGTTTAATTTCATATAGTTTATGTAAGACATATTACATCTCAGAAACCTATCATTCTGGTAAACAGCTTTTTCTTTCATTTGTTGCTAATCTTATACCTGTGAAATTTGGAGTTGATCAAATGTTATCTCTGAAGGCTCCAGAAAGAAGACCTCCTCACTGGGGATTTTGGATTTTCAGCTACCTGTGGTGGAACAGATTTTTTCTTTTTCATACTCTCTCTTTGTGTTCTTTCCATTAGTGACTAAATTTCAGATTGTGAAGTCTGTCTTTTTCTTCTGAATGGGGGCGTTACTGAACTCAGTATTCTCTGGTGCAAAACTCTTGAACTGAGTCCTCTTACCTCCATTACTGTACTCACAGAGAATCCTGTTCAGGTACAGTCCAAAAGGTCTATTGCAGGTTTTCAGGAGCAGCTATGCCCTGCTGTTACAAGCCATGAAGCTTTTGTTTTACATGTGTTTCAGAGAGAGTACGCTGTCTTCTGTAGGTTGTTGTTTACTTTCCAGTTTAGGTGGCTTGATACAGGCAAGCTTGTAGGGACTTCATAATGAGAGGTATCCAAACTGGAGATTAAAAGTCTTAATAGACAGCAGAGAGGTAAGTCTTTGGCCTCAGAAAGCAGGAGGAGGAGTACTCCATGGCAAAGCACTGGTGAGCAAGCAGCTCAAAGTTGACAGTAATGCTTTTCCATTTGCCTTCCTATTCTGATTAAAATAATTAAATAGTTATAGGACTTTTTTTTTTTCTTTCATCCAATAGGTTCTTCCACAGTATTTTTTATCAACCTTTTTAATAATTTCTGATGGGGGCTTCTGGGAAGCCCTTCTCAGAAGGGAGTGTGCCAGACAAAACACAAAATTTAACCATAATTCCTAGATCACACCTAAGATATGCTGATCCAGCCTTTGGTCTACACCCTTGCAATTTCTCTTCTAAAGAGGGATTTGTAGGTACTTCGTGTTAGTTTCCTGTTGGTAACTAAATGTAGTTGCTTTAACAAACTATTCCAGTGGCCTGAGCTGAAGATTAGGACTGTCTTGAAATAAATTTCTGGAGATTTTAAGCACAGGAGGAATTATCCATGATTAATGAATTAGTAGAGGAGCTGCTAATGGAATATTGTCAGAAAGGAATTTTTGCATATCTGCAGCTGTTCAGCAAGGACTTTTGTGTGTTCCATCTCAAACTCAAGCAATTGGATACTATGCTTGTAAGGGTAGTATAAGAATTAAATATAAAGTTCAAAATGTTTTTTACTACAGCTGTTTTGAATTCAGTAATATTACATGTAATTTCACCAATCAACACTGATTTTTATTATTTTAGATCTTCTTCTATGGAATTCAAGCAAGAGTGTTCCAAGCAAGTGGTCGACGACAGCGAAGTTTTCAAGAAGATTCAAGGTTTGTATCTACCAGAACCCATTTAATTTTATTTTCAGTACCTCTATCTTTACAGCTCAACACAAAGAACAATAGTGATGTTAGAAAGATTTTATTTGTATAAATGAAATTAAGCGAAAGTTAGATATTTATCAGAATATTATTAGACTGATAGCAGCATAAATCAATCATAAGAATACTTTCTCCTTTTTCTTTTTTTAAATAAACAGTCTGGCTAAAGATCATGGAGACAGTACAGAATAATTGTGAAAGTAATCAATAAAATGTTAATCTGTGTCAACATAATCTCTGAAAAATGCTGAAACATAATGCTGATCCTATGTTGAACTGGCATTAAATTAAAATAGTTATTGGCAAAATGTACAAACACAATCTCATTTCTTCAGTTAATTTTGTGCTAGATACTTCTTTTGGAAATTATTTCTATACCTTGATAAGGTGGGGTTTTTTTATAGTCTTTAATATTATGCTTACTAAAATATGCGAGTATAATTTGAGTAGTATATTCTGGAGTATGTAAATAAATTTTACCAGGTTCCTACCTACAGCCTTTAGGACAATGGCATAGCTTTGTGTTTAAAATTATGGAAAGATGTTTATGCAGTGCTATGTATTATCTTTGTAACCTGTGGTCAACAAAAACTATTGAACTGAACAGCTTCCAGCTTGTAGAATCTCCACTATTTACTGTCATTAGCTAAACCTGTTTTAAGTAGGTACTCTTTGGTCATTAAAGTCTGCTTAGACATTTACTTCTAGAAAAAATGTCGGAATAACAATTAGGGATATTTTTTAATCTTCTAGTTATTTTTTCCCCTCACATAATAGACACAAATTGATTTCTCAATTAGCTGACTACATCTAAAAGGCCTGGAAGAAGGTTACGTGTATATATTTCAAGACATCTTTTAACATACATCTGAGTTTGAACTTCACTGGAAAAAACTTCCTTCTTTCACCCTCCCCCCTATCTTGCTTTATAATTGTAGACACAAGTAATTTGAAGATATAATATGATAATAGCAGATGACTTCTGTTAACAGAGTATGCTGAGAAACCTGGACATACCTGAAGTAAACCTGCTACCTAAAAAGTTTGATAAGGCTGTCATTTTTACCATAGAAATAGTTTTCTGCTTGTCATTTTGGAACAATTTTGCAGAATTATTTTTATTTGTTCTTGTTTCCACATGTAGTTAACATGTCTGTGCAATGAAGGAGCAACTCTGTGTCCCATAATGCAATGTTTGTATTACCAAAGTAGCATTCCTAAGTTGCTTTGTATGTTGAATCATGGTACGTGATCAGTTCTAGCAGAAATAAGCGGGTTTATAATCTGAGCATGTAGAGGGTGATAGCCATTCTTCCTTTCCTTCTGTGATCTCTTTAAAAGTTTTGTTAGATGTTCCTGCTGCTTTATATGACTTCTCCTCAAATGTTAAGAAACTGGTAGTTTCATTTGAACTGACATTCTCTCATCAAAGATAAAGGAGCCTGGATGCATGGATATGTCATTTTAACCAGCAGTTATCATAAGTAGCTGCGGTTTTCTTTACTTTTATATGAGCTCCATGGCATGTGGCCCACTTCGGTTAAACATTGTGTCCTTTATTTCTCCAAATCCTCAGGTATATTCAGAGAGACACTAAGTAAAAGAGGAGTTCGGGTTATAACAGGCTTAGGAAAGTATTTCCGACAAGTAGACAAGAACAGAAATGGTTTTCTCTCTCAGGCAGCCTTTAAAGAAGCTCTGAAAGTGTTCCATTTGGAAATGCCTGAAGGGGTAAGTCTAGCTGAAACTGTAATCGTGGATATTATCTTACTTTAATTTATGGAATCACTTCTTTTCTTTGCTTAAATTTATAGTTTAATAGCTGTTTTTTGCAAGATGGTTTTGGGTTTGGGTTTTTTTCCCCCTTGTGGTATATTGGCATTTATGCATTCAGGTCTATGAGAAATTCTTAAAAATAAAAGGAATTTAAAAACATGCAAACTTTTTGCATCATGAAGAAGCAATCCATTTTTTCTTTTTTGGCCTTCTAAAAATAATTTAGATGATGCTATTTGCTTATCTTTTTTCCTTGTTTTAGGTATTATGTTTTAAAAATAGCCCACAGCTATCAGAACTGCAAATAATGTGAATTATGGTCATCAGTGACCGATGATGACTTACATTATTTTGATAAATCTTTGAGTCAGTTTGGATTTGGAAGTTGTTTTTTTTGTGAGAATACTGTAATCTCCTATTATAGCAATTGTTTTATTCTAAGGCAGACATAGTGAAGAACTTTGGCAAAATATTTTTAAATTGCAGGACTTTGAATCCTTATGGCTTATTCTTGATGATAGCAAGAGTGATAAGGTCGACTATGGAGAATTTACTCGTGCTGTGTTTGGAGAAATGAATGAATATAGGAAAGCATTTGTAAGAAAAGTAAGTTTTGTTGCAGATATTCTAAGTGTAGATATTTTGCAGTCTAACTTTGGAGTTACTTATTCGTCATATTCTGGTTGTTGCTTTTTGTTGTTTTTCTTAAATTGTGCATCTGGTAATTGACTTTTTACACTGTCAGATCAGTTTATTAAAATAAACATAAATTGGAGGACTGCATGCTGTTCCAATGTTGAATTAGTTAATTTTAAACTCTGGAATTAATTCCTTTAGTATTTTGAGTTTATGCATATGTGTGTTAGTCTTACAGTTCAGTCCAGTGTATAAAGCATCTGGCACCCTGAGACTATCTCTTCCAGAAGTCTGTTTCCTTATTTTGGCAGGTCACTATATCTGCGTGCAGATTTTTTTCCCTTAGTGTCTGAAATAAGAGACAATAATACTTGCCTCCTTTGAGACCTACAATTAGAGTCATCATGTTTGTGAGACTTCTTATGTTTGAAATGCCATTTGTTATATGTCTCTAATGTAGTGGAGCCGTTTGCAGTATGAAACATTGATTATAAACCAGCCAATAGATTAGCGACTGGGTATCAAGATCAAGAAAAAATGACATGTACTTTCATACTTTTAATCATGGAGGATCTGACTCTCCTAGTCTTATGTATTGAGCATGTGTATTTGAGTAAACTGAAATGAAAGTGAAGCTGCAGTTAGCAGCGCTGAAGAGGCTGTGTTGAGGCCTCTGTCAGAATGACACAGGAATTCTTAATACTTGGAGAAGGCAGAAGGGAAGTGGCTTAACTTCTGATTCTAAGGTTGAGCTAGAAATTTTGGAGAGAAGACAAATTTTTTTGAGTTGGTGACAGCACTACATTTGATGTGAAAGCTGTTGAGATAAAATAATCATGAAACTCCATAATCTAGAATAATTTTCTGGTATCTGGTGCTTTACATAAAATAGGTAAGTTGACATAATCCATTGCACAAGATCTAAAAATATGTGCTAGGTAGTTAAGTATATTTGATCTTCTACATCTTTACCTTCTTTTTCTTTTTTCCTTATATGCTTATATGAAACTCTTTTTTCCTTATAGGCTTATATGAAACTAGATTTCAACAAAACTGGGAGTGTGCCTATGGTAGATATCAGGAAATGTTACTGTGCAAAGAAACATCCTCTAGTGTTGGCAGGTAATTCACATGAACAAAAAAAAAAATTAAAAAATCTGTAACTACTGAAGTAATCCTGTTAGCAGAGATACCAGATCCAGAAACTGGTTGCAAATACAAACTGTTTTCCTATTGGCTTAGACTTGAGCTGTTAAGGAGACCCTTTTTTTCCTCTGACGACCTATAATGTGTTTATCTGGAATATGACTATAAATAGTAATGGAGTTCATATACACAATTTTAATACTTGCTTTTTATCAAGCTGCAAATACTGCATATATGCAGAGTAGTTCCTTTCCCTACCTGTGTAGGACTACATTCAAGCAGTTATTTCTCAGGTTTGGCGTGCAAGTTATCAGTGACACATTTGATATTAGTAATTTTCACTTAGGAAGATTACTCTCATTTTCATATTACGGTTTTCCATCAAAATATGCAAGGTTTCCAACTGACACTGAATGTACTCAGCACTTGAAGTTCCTTCTGAATAAATTATTCATTTATTTCTGGGACAGGATTGTCATCCTTTACAGAGGAAATGTTGGTATCTTCATTATTTTTTCAGGATTCTCAAAAATGTTTAAACTCTGCCATGAAAAAATAGGAGTTTAAATGTTTGTACGTCAGTTTCTAAAATAACATCTCCACGTACCAAACCAGTCATTGTGAAAGTCTCCCTAGTGACCTGACCCTTTGTTTTACCTATAGAAGAGAGGATGTTTTTTGTATTGCCAGTGATTTTAATGGTAACATGTGAAGTCACATGGTGGTATAGGGATGTTACACGTGCAATTTTTTCCAATGCTATAATGCTATATTTTTTCCATTTTTTTTCTCAATGCTATGAAATCATCTTGAGTATAATCTTTATTAAGTCACTAGAACACACATGCAAATTGCAGCACACTTTTCTAATGCAAACTTGTGTCCTAAAGTTTTCCTAGAGCTTTGAACTTGTATTATATTAATCATATGCTTTATTACAAATAACTTGTGAATTACCAAAATTTTAGTTTACAAATCCATTATTCAGTTTCTGCAATCATTTGAAGAAAAAAATCTTCCTGATCTCATAATTCATTGAAATTGACTGTGGCCTCATGTTTCTGTTGATATTTAATGCTATCACGTGCTATTAAAGTAAGGTGATTTCTGCAGCTGGTATTAAGTGAGCCAATGACTTAATTCTGAAATCAGAATATTGAATTTGTTCAAGAAAAAATTATTTGGAGGCTAAAATTGTAAAGTTTCTTGCCTGAATTATATAAATGCTATATATTCACTGATCTTGAAAATGTATTTAATGGAAAAATATACTTTTACAGGCAAAGCTACAGAAGAAGAAATTAAATCGTCATTTCTAGAAACACTAGGAGAGTCCTGCAGCAACCCCAATGAAGTGTCCTATTCTGAGTTTGAAGATTACTATGAAGGATTAAGTATTGGAATCATGGATGATGATGATTTTGTTAATATCTTAAGAAACCCTTGGGGAATTTAGAGCGGAAGATGACAAAAATGAAGAGGAGACATTTTCTAAACAAGGAGTGAGCTAAATAGGGAGGATTTAGTTTTGATGTGCATTACTTCGTAATTAGTGTCTTAAACTGATTTCAGGGACTGAAAATTTTCGATGCTTTCAGAATAATACATGGCAAATTTCTTAGAGTGTCTGTTGAGCTATGCTAACCACTCTTTTTTAATATAAATGCTGTTCATTCCTTTTCATTGGAAATAATAAAGGCTGTTCCCCATACCAAAAGGCATCATTTACTTGATATTAAAGTGGCCTATTTTAAAATAAGAGGGAGTTAGAATACTAAAATGCATGAAGGAGTATATGCAAGAGAAAATTTTGTTTATGATGCATTGTGAGAAGCTTTAGATTTGACTATATAAATATCAGTGGCAGCTTTTCTTCAGAGTTTTATTCTTATAAAAGTAATGTGTTTATTCTTATAATGTTCTTTTGTCTCATTTCTTGTTTCTTATGCTGGTACTTAGCTTGAAAGCAAGCAGGTCATCCTTTTCCAGTTTTGAGGATGTCTGCAGTACTGAAAGCACAGAGATGTTCCCACCAATTAGTCCTTTGGCCTGTGGACCATCTTGACTGATCTTATTTTTTTTCATCTTGGTTAGGCATCTGAAGCTGAGCATTGAATCCCGAAGGTTTTAATAAGCACACATATATTTTGTAATACACTTCTTTTCCTGTATTTTGCTAAGTGGTTTTCAAAACAAATAATTTATATTTAAATATCTGGTTTCTTTGCTTTCTATTGCTGTGATTTTTTTTAACTAAAATTTAGCAATGATATCCTTTGTCAAACTGATATATAGCATTTCTTATCTACTCTGAAGGTATAAAACAGAAAAGTGTAAAAAAAAAAACCAACCCACCACAACCACATCTGTCACAACAAAAATTAAACCATAAATTAAAATATTCCTTGCTACTTCAAACATTCAGCCAGATACGCTTGTCAATGTAATACATCTTGTTAATTCTGTAAAATTATTTGCGTTAAGAAATAGAAAATATATTATTAATTAGAGAGAGAGAGAGAGCGCCTTTGGTTTCAATATACCTGTATTAAAATTAACTGTATGTTGAACTGCATTTCTTAAGCCTATGCAATTAAAATATATTAGTTTCCTCTGTGCTTGCCTGCCTGGTTTTGAATTTATAGTCTGTGGCTAACAGAACCTTCCTCCAAGATGGAATTTGTTTCCTAGGAATTTAAGGGCAGTGCTGAAAAAGGAATGCTGAAATGAGGGACTTTGGTCCCTCTGTGGCTGACTGGTTTATTCTAGATATAGCACTTTCTTGTTCTAATAGCTTGTGTGTTGTCATGTTTTGATTGTTTGTACCCTGTCCTCATTTGTAACTAGAACTGCAGTTTCTGCTCTAAATCCTTAAATGAGGAATTTGGGGAGTTTCTTTTGGGGCTGAAAAGTCTGTATGTATTAGTTTACAGAGAAAGGCAAATTCTGTCAATGCTTATTCTAAGCAAGAATTCTGATGTGACTGATTACAATTTTCTTATTCCCCATCACTGCTGGAATTTCTCTTGCTGGAAAGATTTTGTTCATTAGTGTTCTTGGAATTGGTGATTCTGAGAAGAGCAACTTCAGCTGGTTTTACAGGGATCTGCTCGTTAATGTGTTTGAATAACTGAAAAATAACCAAGTGGCATTTCTATTAGTTTTTCAAAGAATCGCCTGCTCGATTTAGACTTCTTCACTTAGGAGAGTTGTACCAACGTTATAAAATTGTAGCTCAATTTAATAAATGTGGAAGTGATTGTGAAATGAGGTATTGACATATTTCTTTTTGCAATGCTTAATTTTTTTGTGATGCTTTTAGGAAGGTCATTCCACAGTATCCTATGGAATGGAAAAATTGATGACAAGTGGATGTATCCTTAATGGGCCTGCTTATCAGCAGAAGCTGTATAGGTCACATCTGCTGCAAATTAAGCGTTCTTTATTTTGCTCTTATCACTAAAATGAGGTGCTGTTATAAGAACATTATAGCTTTGGTAGTCATGTATGTTTTTTTTCTTTCTTAATCTGAAGACAGATCCGTAACAGGGTAATCTATGGTAAATTCTAAAGGTCAGAAATTGCCTGAAAATAAAGTAGGTACTCTAGTGATAATTACGTAAAACCTGCTAGGTATATAATTTCTATTAACTACAATTTCAATTTTGCATCAGTGGCTGCCTCAAAACATGAGGTGTGATGTCTATGGTGAATTTTTAATGTAGTTCACCAAAGTCACTTTCCATCTGCCCACTGGTTTTCGTTGTCTAAAATTAAGCTGGTGACAATTCAACCCAACTTCTACCCAAGGCTGGCCCACCATGCTTACAGTTAGTAGAAAAAATGCAGAAACAGTATTCAAACCAGGGACTGTGGTGTCTTTCGTTTCATTAACAGTCATCTCAATGCCCTGATTAATTGCATTCTGATTTGCTCTTATTTACTTGCAAACATCTGATGAACCTGAGTCCTCCTCTTTGATCAATGCTTTGTAGCTTTAAAACTTTCTGGAGGTGTCTGCTGGGGTTTCCTGCCTTTTATATGTGTTTCAGACAAAATTTTTCTACACTTGCTACCTTTCTCAGAATTGCCCGTGTTTTCTAAATTAGGACGTGTTCTAAGAAGTGGTGTTCTTGGAGAAGCTGGCTGGCTTCTTTCCTGAAACTCACTGCTTAATAAAACTAGTTGTCTTCATGCCACCCTGATTTACACTTTGGCTAAAAAGTCTTAGCAACCTGCCGTAATTGAGAACATCAGAAGTGCATTATGCAGCAAACATATTTTGTCCTATTAGATGCGCGTGCTCCCAGAAGACAAGTGGAAGTCAACGAAGTGATGTAACTCCTCAATTCTCAACGTCTATGACCACTTCATCAAATGAATATGCACTTGCAATGTTAGCTGGAATGTTTAAGAGCGTTTTTAAAAAGCAAAACACAGGCACGTGCGAGAACTGTCAGTAGCTTCACTTTGTCAGCTAATGGACTATGGGATCTTCACCTGGGATAGCTTTGTTGCTGAGCGGAGGTGTTCTTACTGATTCACACCCACAAACTCATTTCTTTTCCCTAAGAGTCGCTGCCCGCTGACCAAATTTTGTGGGTCTTTTGGGGCCAGAAAACCCAAAAGATTAAAAATGTATCTACCACTCTGTGTTTGTATGGAGGTGCTGGTTAGGTTTGGGGGTTTTTGGTCTTGTGGGTATTTTGGGGTTTGGTTATTTGGTTTGGTGGTGGTTTGGGGTTTTGGGGTTTTTTTTGTGAGCGTGCTTTCTCCAGATAGTAAAAGGAAAAGCCTAGAACTGGTTTCTTATGTGTTGGTCTGTTAAGTCCATAGAAAAACAAAGCAGATAAGTTTCTGTGGCAGAAAAAGGGAAAGTAGAAAATCACACACTTTTTTTCTGTATATTACTCTAATAATTTATCCTTCCTCTCCTTCATACTCAGCAATTTAGAGACGGAGATAATCCTGTGCTTGCTTTTCATGTTGATAACCATCTTGTCTTTGAGAAGCTGAGTCAGAAGGACTCTGTGGTAATCATGAGGCATCTCCGGTGATGAAAGAGGCAAGCGGTATTTCCTTTCGGACCTATTTAGGTTATTTTTTCCGCAGAGAACATTTCAAAATATTAACTGAACTGGAAGGTACTTAGAAAAGAAATGTGTTAAGATGGTACCTACATGATGACCTGATGAAATACTTTGTTTTGTGGCTCCTGTACTTCTGTTGCACTCCTTTTTGCTTGTGGGGAAGTAGAGGCTTAAAGATGATAGAGAGAAAGTACACTTCTGTGATAAACAGATATGTTTTGGGTTTTTTTCCTCTGGTTTCTTAATGTTTACTATAGCATCTGTTGCGTTTACTTGGAATTTATAGTGTCTGGGTACCTGTTTTCTGGCTTTTTTTCTCCTCACTCGTGTTACAGTTTGGATGGAATTAATTGGATTTGTGCTTGGAAACTTCTGTGTTTATTGCTACCGGCAGAATTTTCTGTGTCCAGCATCCCCAGAGAAGCAGCTTCAAAATAAGAAAAGTAATAGCCATTTCTTTGTGGTTTGATTTTTTGCAGGCTGCATTCTCATGAAAGATGTTTAATATTTTAGGACCTTTTGCTGGCTTGTGTATTTTTTTAGCTTGTGTCTTCTGACCTTTTGCTGTCATTTTCCCCTCCCAGTTTTAGGAGCAAAGAGGAACCTGAGAGACTCTGGAAAAGGTAGAAGAGATGGTGTTTGGAAGGTGTGCCGTCTAGGTATCTAACTAATGAAGATTCTCCCTTTAGAAGCCTGACACTGCTTTTGAAGTGCCCTTTTGAGTCATCTCAGAGAACCTCTTTGGCGGACTCCTTCCAAGCAGACAAAGACCCGAGAGGTTCTCCTCTTAGACAGCCGAGGTCAGCCCGCGGCCCCTCACAAGCCCTGGTGAGAAGGGCTCACCTCACGGCTGGGAGAGGACGGAGGTCCTCCCGATGTCTGCAGGCTCTTCGATAACCCCCGCAACCCTGGGCTCCGTTCATAACCCTTCTTGGGAGAAGCTTGCGGGAAGGAGACTTCTGGCAGATGTTTAGCTACCTACCAACGTGCCAAGCTAGAACTCAAGGACTGTCCCTCTGGTGGAGAAGCTGCTCTTTATAGCAACTTTTCGAAACATCAGCCACTTGGTACCAGCTGCAGGCAAGTGTAATGGAGAAGGCAGAGGCTGGACAGAGATGGACTAGAGAGAAGGCATGAAGAAAGGACAGGCAGAAGACGTAAAACGGTAGCACTTGAGGGGGAGATGAAAAAGTAGGGGATGCCAAAAAATGCCTTTGCAGCAGGGATTTGTGGGGCTTCTTCCCTGTCTTTTCCCCATATTTCTGTTTTATGCTGCATCTTGTATTTGGTTGTAAGTTGGGAGTGAAACTTGGCAGGAACTGATTAATTCAGGTTCAAAAGGGCTCTGTTCCAAGGGCAGCTCCTGGTGCTCCCATGTCCTGTTTTTATCTATCCTATTTCTAGGGTGGTTGTTGGTAATTCTGCTCATGTTCTGATTTTGAGAGTTCTGGCCAAGGCCCTCACAAAACTCGCTTTGGGAGGAGCATACCATGGACAATACCCGCTTTACACTGCTTTTCGCTTCATGTGGGGAAACCCCAGGCTGTTAAAGGGAAGCACAGGTTAAAAACAGTGGAAGCTAAAATAGCAGCTTTAGGGGTGTATCTTAAAGCGATATTCCCTTTTCTTACAACCTCTGTCAAGTAAGTGAACACTTAATGACTCCTATGACTAATTCTGGGATCCTATGATTTGTCTTGGCAATAATTAAATCCTGCACTCACACTGGTAAAATTATTCCCCTGAAGTAATTTCTTTTGACAACAGTATTTGCCTTGCAGATGC